AAAAAACAGCAAAGGAGATGCATACATATGTATTCGTTTCTCTCAAAATATTAACACGAAGTTTTTACAATATACGAGCCAAAATCTTAAATTTTTCGAGTTGCGACTATCTTTTCGCACACCTAGATTTCTAGTGCGATCAACTCATAAACAAGTTTGGGCGATTTTTTTGCATAAGTCAATTCATAGCACTTATATCCAATTAAAGGAAATATTTTTATACCCGAGCGCGCTTGTGCACAAGGGTATTTTAACTTTGTTCGCATAACGGTTTTTTGTAACAGCCAAAATGAATCGAGATAGATATGGACAAATGTATACATAAATGCTCAGAATCAAAAGAGAAATCGATTAAGCAATGTCTGTCTGTCCTTCCGTCCGTCCGTCTGCCCGTGTACAGGATAACTCGAGCAAATCTTGAGATATCTCAACAAAATTTGGTATGTAGGTTGCCCTTTATCCAAGGTATGCTGTCATTGAAAATGGGCGAAATCGGACTGTAATCACGCCCACTTCCCATATAACGGTATTTTCGAAAAATGTAAAAACTACGATATTTCAGTAAATATTCGATGAAAATTGTGAAAATGAGTACGTTAAGTAGAATTGTGGTCAAAAATAATATTATTATGAAATTGTGTGACCCACACTTTTTACACATGTCTCTTGAGCAATGCGCCTTAATTCTTTCTCCAAATGCTACTTCTACAGCTTGCAATAATTGCCTCATTTCCATCTCATTTTTCATTAGCGCGTTATTAAATTCACTTCTATAATCAACTACCTGCTGACCGTTCTGCTTTATGTCTAGCCAAGAAATCTGTTGAAAATCATTGAAATCGGGCAATAACTACGCCCACCTGCCATATATCGGTAATTTACAGAAACACGAAAGCTGCGATAAATCGGTAACAACTTTGCAGAAAATTTGAATAATATAAATTTTTGGATAATGGGCTTAGCGCCGCCAACTTATGACCACTAATTTGTATCTCGGTAACCGATTTATAAATTTTTACCAAACTCGGTGCCCTTAATATTAATAACTTTGGTACGGAAAAGCAATTTCTTGAAAATTATTCACATCGGACTAAAATTACGCTCGCTTCTGGTATAACGGTAAATTTCAGAAATATCTTGCAAAGGTAGTTTAACTAAAACATTATATACCTGTTTTCGTATTAATTGCGTTGAATTTGTACTATCCACAAGCAGTTTAATTTCCCTTTATGAATTTTGAGTTATCTCACTTTAGATCTTGGTGTGCGTAAAAAAAACTTGCAAAAAACTCTCTGTACCTAAACTTTATTGATTGACCGTATATGTACAGTTGTCAACAAAATAATAGGAGTGGTATATTTGACCAGTTTTGGCTATTTGTCTTTTATTTAATGTTTATTATTTTTTTATAAAAGTCTACAAATTCTGAAAATTTTCACTAATATTTCAAACCTTTTAATCAGAATCTTTAGAAAAACTATTGGATTAATTCAGTTTGAAATTTCAAGTCCCTAGCTTATCGGGAAGTTGGTTAAAAATTGATTCCAACATTTGCTTACACACAGGTTAAACTTACTTTTGAAAAAGGAACTTCTCCAGATTACGAATAAAAAAAGGTGCTTCCTTGTGTTTTACGTATGTATGTAGGTGTTATGGTTTGGAGGTGTCGATATGTAATGGTATGTCTATAGACCAACAAAAACTGATGAAATTAAGCTTATTAGGTACTTAGTTAAGTGGTGATACAAAGGAAGGCGGGGTTTACTGTATTTATGTATGTTTGTAGACCCAATTTAATCTGCACATTTAAAATTTGTTTTTTTTTTTGGTACCCACATAGTTATGATTTTTTCTAACGTTTTAGGTAATACGTCGCGGCAAAAATATTCTACCTACAGTCGCTCGTCTATGTCTGATTGCGACGTTCTTCGAAGATGGTTTACGTATGTACTTCCAATGGAACGAACAACGTGAATATATGGATATGAGCTGGGGCTGTGGCAAATTTTTGGCTACAGTTTTTGTGTTAGTGAATTTGTTTGGACAACTTGGTGGCTGTGTTATGGTTATTGCTAGGTATAAAGTCGAGATTGCTGTGGGTTTGCTCTTTTTCATCGTAGTGCTACAGGTAGGCCAATCAATTACATATGTACATGTATGCATAATTATAGTTGTATCCATATTTACCTAAAATTTGTGTTATTTCAACTAGACAATAGCTTACTCTATACTTTGGGACATACAATTCTTGTTTCGCAATCTCGCGCTGATCGGCGCATTACTGCTCGTATTAGCCGAATCACGAGTCGAAGGACGTAGTCTGTTCGCTGGTGTTCCCTCACTTGGTGAGAATAAGCCGAAGAATGTTATGCAGCTCGCTGGTCGTGTACTGCTTGCATTTATGTTTATTACACTTATACGCTTCGAACTGAGCTTCCTTCAGGTATGTTCTGAGTAAAAATCTCACCACTATCAAATTACTCAAATACATATGTATGTATTTATTCTTTTTCAAATGCTTTGTTGTTTTCTTTCAGATTGTGCAAGATATAATCGGTTCGATTTTGATGGTTCTAGTAACAATCGGCTATAAAACAAAATTGTCTGCACTCATCCTCGTAGCACTGTTGACCGTTTTGAATTTGTATCATAACGCGTGGTGGACCATTCCTTCTTATAAGCCACTTAGAGATTTCCTAAAATATGACTTTTTCCAGGTAAAGCGTCGCTTATTGTACACACATAAATACTTATACAGTTGTGAATTTGGGGCTAAATTTATTTCATTGTATTCGAAAAATCTATTTTTTTTTTCAAAAACTCTTTGTTAAACACTTATCTTACGAAATGTTTTATTATTCCAGACGCTCTCCGTGATCGGCGGTTTATTAATGATTGTGTCACTGGGGCCTGGTGGTGTATCAATGGACGAACATAAAAAAAAATGGTAGACTTCGTCGCCGCAGTACACATGCTTATGTAATCCGCATGTAACAGAGAGGAAATTATTATTTTTTATTTTATATCAATGTACTTTTGTTTCATAAATTAGACACCTTTTTATAAAAGCAAACGATAAACACAACAAAACCATAAAATGGGATAAATAATGACAAAAAAAAAAATAAAACAAATGGACAAAATCAATGTATGTATAAGGAAACTAAATAGAGAAATTTTTACTTTGGGGGTTCTTAATTTTTGTTTGTGAAACACGGACTTTTGAAAGAAACAATAAATGATTCCTTTTGTGCTTCCGTATTTGTAAAAGATTTTTGTAGAATTATGATTTGGGATTGCTTATCACAAGTAAAACTGAAACACGGAGGTTTTACCTAAAAAATCCAGGTTGTATTATGTAATTGAACACCTATTTACATACAAACGATTTTCGGTAAGAGACCACTTAAAAGTGCACGCATACGTACATAAATGTTGCTCAATTTATTTTTTAAGTACATTCTGTTTCAGTTCAAAAATATATATTAATTATGTTTTGTACTTGTACTAGTTTCATTGTACCAATATAATTTTTAGTTAATAAATTTTTCAGATTCAGGGTAACGATGTATTTTGGATGGTAACGATTGGGAAGCGCAAATAAAATTTTATGATAAAAATTGATTATTTTTACTAAAACAAAAATTGTTTTTTTTTTGATTATAGTGGCAATTAAAACACTTACGAAAAGTGGTAAAGTATTTTACTTTATAGCAAAACGGAACCACCCAGATTTATATCTGCCCAAGGACTGAGGCCGCTTTGGACTTGGTTAGTAGTGCATACTATCACTCCGTTGGACCTCGGTTCAATCCCTGCTCCGAGCAGCATCTAAAATTGTAGATCCATCCATTTTGTATTATAACATCAGGACGCACACCACACATTTTAGAGGCTCGAATTTTTCGTGTAATCTACGAGTGTTATTGAATTCGAATAGCTACGACCGTAGCGTATGCTTTGAAACACACGTTTCTAGCAATTCTGACTCTTGATCGTAATTTCGTAGATTTTAATAGAATTAATAAAAATTTTCTGCTTGACTTAGGATTCGAACCAACAGACAAAATTTTTTATAGCGCCAATATTGCGCCGTTAATCGGAATTAATGTTTGTCTATCCTTTTATTGCCAAATTAAAAATCATTTCCGAAATTTCAAAAACCTTCATGAAATTTTTTACAAACTTAAAAACTTGTAGATCCAAACTGCAAAAAAACGTGTCTTTAGAAAGCGTTACTGTTCCTTGATTAAAAGACATGTTAATGTTTGTTATCGTAATTTTTATTTATTTATAAGTAATATTTTACTTCAAAATTTAATTTCACGCATTGCAAATAGTGCTGAAGAGTTGTTTGCCATTTTAATTTCGATTATACTTTAAATTTAATTGCTAAACTCTGCATTCTAGTGTGCTTGAAACAATTCTTCCTATGGGAAAATGGCTTCAATGCATTACTTTTCTTTGAAATCGTTCGTCAATGCTTTTAATTCAAAGCGGCAGCACCAGAAATAATTTCAATCAACTCGCGGGTGATGACAGCCTGTCTGGTACGGTTGAATGTGAGCGTGAGTTTCTCAATCATTTCACCTGCGTTCTTGGACGCGTTGTCCATGGCAGTCATACGGGAAGATTGTTCAGAACAAGCACCCTCCTTCATGGTATAGAAAATCAGGGAAGCTAGCGAATATTCTAAATAGCTTTGTATAATATCACTGTCGAGTGAATCGTACACCGCTAACTTGTCAGATTTCTCTACGGTGGGTGTATTAAACACTGGCAGAGTAGACAATTGGTATGATACCACAGATTTGAATTTATTGTAGACGATTTGTCCTTCGGTGAAGTCATAGCCGGTCTTAGACACCTCATGAGCAATTTTCGAAGCATCTAGGAAGGTGGGTGGCAGACGGCCTACCTCGTTAGCTACCATCAAAATGTTCTTCCCATAGGTACGCGACAAAATTGAACGCGACTTATCACCTACGCAAAAGAGCTTTGTGTTGGCATCACCTTTGGCTAATTCGTTACGGATGTGACGAGCGACGCCGGTGTGAACCGCTCCGCACAGGCCACGATCAGAGGTCATGGCGATCAACAACTTCTTCGGCTCGGCCTTCTCGTCAGACTGAATTTCAGTTTTTTCGAAAAATTGCTGGGCACCAATACCATAAGGACGTGCAGCTTTTAAATCACGCTCAGCGCGAGAGTATTTAGCTGCTGACACCATCTTCATGGATTGCGTAATTTTCTGAATGTTCTTCACGGACTTCAAACGGATTGAGATGGCTTTCAGAGTAGCCATGCCTCGTTGGGGCTGCGACTGTATGGTCGCCTCAATGGCAATGGGGACCAAAACGTTAGCTCGCTGCATCATCATCTTGTTAAGTTGAAGTTCGGGTCCGCGCAGAAAACTGGAAATGGAATAAAAGTATTATTATTTAATATTTTTTGCGATTTTTGGTTATGCAAAACGAGAATTACCAAATTTTTTCACGACACGAAGCAATTGACAGCGAATGGTGTTGAGAATTTCCTCTTATGTAAGTTCCATACAGTGTTGTCGAAACGATTCGTTTGGCAAAAGGAAAATTTTGCTTCCGCCAAAGCATGTACGGGAAAACATGATTTTATGACCGAATGATAATACTCCTTTAAAATAATACATAACTTGACTTCATATACATAAATATAAATGATTGGTTATAATTTTTTGTGCAATATGATTACAAGTAATATTGTATTTTCCACACTCAAATTGGGATATTTCGCGTGTTGTCAAATTTGACAATTGGAGGAAATTCCTGCAATCTGAAGGCCCTGTGCAATTTTTTGAGCAACTAGCTGGAATGTCAGGAAACTGAGTTACTTGTTTCGATATCATTGTATGATTGAGCATCGAAGGGCATCGATGAATCGATTTGCATAGGAATTTTCGGATAAAGCCCTGTCTCCACAGGAAAACACTGATGATGTTTCACAACAAAATATGTTACTGGGAAAGTTGTAGAAAGTTATAAATAAATTACTGCAACTGAGCTAATTAGATATGTTTCAACGCAACTTTTTGGAGCTATTTCAAGTTATTTGGTCAAAGTTACTTGTCTATTTGTTTAAATAAAAACTGGAATGACGGTTTAATGTACTACATATGTCTGTTTTGGAAAAATATCGATGCATCGATACATCGACTACTATACATCCAGTGGAGAAATGTCGGTGCATCGAGCACACCATCGATATTTTCGATGCATCGATGTTTTTCCGAAATCTCTAACTACGATTTGTTTGGTTTGGAAATCCCAAAAATTCGCTGTGTTGGATTAGACATTTTTTTACTTGTGCCTCCTTTATTTATATTTGTGAAGGTTTAGCAAAGATGACAGATCCTCAAGATGAGCTTTGTCCACCACCAACGGAGGATGATGAATTAACATTGCCACGCGCAAGCATTAATAAAATTATAAAAGAACTGGTACCGTCGGTGCGCGTGGCGAACGAGAGCAGAGAGCTGATACTTAACTGCTGCACAGAATTTATACACTTGATTTCTTCTGAAGCTAATGATGTTTGCAATAGGCGTAATAAAAAAACGATTAATGCCGAACATGTCTTGGAAGCGCTTGATCGATTAGGTTTTTGCGACTACAAGCAGGAGGCAGAAGCTGTATTGAATGATTGTAAGGAAGTTGCAGCCAAACGGCGTCGCCAAAGCACACGGCTTGAAAATCTTGGGATACCTGAAGAGGAACTGTTACGGCAACAACAAGAACTTTTTGCTAAAGCACGAGAAGAGCAAGCGCGGGAAGAGCAACAACAGTGGATTAGCATGCAGGCGTCGGCGGTTCAGCAAAGCGCAGAATTAATGCATCGTCAAATGAAGTCTCAGTCCAGTAACTGTGGTCTAGAAGATGATGAGGACGACGATGAGGAGTACTGATTGTGACTAGACTTGGACTTTAATTTAGAATGTAATTGAGAACTATACAATAGATACCTAGCATACCGATTAAAATGAATTTTTATTTCAAAACCAGTATAATTCTACTTAACATTTTAATGCTAACTGTAATTTTCGCCGACTTTCCCTTTATCTTCATCTAAATTCAGCTTTTCAATCTGACTTAGGAGCACAGGGGGTATATCTTCGGCGGCACATACATAATCGCCCGGCTTGTACTTTCCTAGTAATTCACTATGATCTTTCCAAAACTTCTCACGTATCATGTCATCGTGATGAGGCACAATTAGTTGTCTATTCAGACCACCATCGCCCTCAGTTTTTACTCTTTTTCTTAGAAGTACAGTGCCTTTTCGGAACATAACTGGGAGATTGTTATAATTAATGCCAAACTTCGTGAAAAGCATTTCATTTTTGTCTGCGGAAAATGTCCCGCGTAGTTCTGCTTCAGCTTCTTGATTACTTAGACCCGATTCTAATACCAAATTCCAAAACGCTGTATTGTATAAGTTATTAATGTGAACATCCGCTTGTCGCCAGCTGAGGTAGTCGCGCAAATTCTGATCCGATGGATACAAAACAATACGTCCATCAAAACATGGAGGATACAGCAAAGACTTACTACTCATCCACCTGCTCCAGTTAAATACATATGCTGAAGTGAATAAACTGGTAACATATGAAAGAAGCTTAGCTGCACGCCGATTAAAGACATTAGTTTCTTTGCGGAAAACAAATGAGTACTCATCACTTTGGCCGTAAGCCAGTGTTATATCACGAAATTCTTCCATGACACTTACTGCGGCCGTATTCATTAAATTCAGAGCTGTTTGGGTAAAAATTATTTGTACATATTAGGTAAAGAAGGTAAATACATATGTATATAGAATAATGCTAATTACCATTTGCGTCATTCGGCTTGGCAAAATTGTGAGCTTTACAAAATGTATGAAAGCCCTTGCCGTCCAAACGTATAACGATCCAAACATTAGGCAGGATACTATCGTCTTGTTCGTAGTTTTTAACATATTCGAATCGGCTGCAGGCCATCCCACGCGCCGTATGCAAACCACGTTGTTGATATAGAAACTGGACTGAGTTCTTCAGCAAATTAATAGAATTATTGAACTTCCCCATAAATTACTGCCTCCAGAATACTATGCACAGTATGATAAAGTTTGGAACGATTGAAGTGAAATAAAATTACATATGAACATTCCAAAGCGATTTACCTTAATCTTCCAGATTTCTGAAGTCCATCTTCATTTTGAAAATGAACGCAGGTATACATACATACATATGTACGCTTACGGACGTCAAAAATATGAAAACAGCTGATTAGTAAACAAATCCTCTGATAAGAGATGCATTATGGATGAAAGTGATTGCTGCGGCAATGGATGTATGAGCTGCATATTAAATGTGGGACTACGGAAATCTGATGCTGTCGATCTAGTGGGAAAATATAATGTTATATCAATTTATCAAAAATTCCGTCTACTTGAAAGGCGATCGCATAACCCAAAGGCGTTTAACTCAACACATAGTAATGAGGACCTGCCCAAAGTATTGGAGCTTCACTTTAAAGCTGCTGACCTGCCAATCGATTCGGGTGATTACATTTTGGACATACCAGTTGGATATCATATAATGATGCGCACCAAATTTCCGAACGATGTTGTTTGGCTTCGACCCTACTCACCCTTTTGGGTTGACGCTTTGGCATTGGAGTTTAAAATACTTGTTAACCTTTCACCAAATGGTTATATGTCGCGATACATTAGTGGGTTACAGCCCGGCGACTTGGTGGAATTCCGTGGACCAATCGGTGCATACGAACGGACAACAAGAAATTGTGAAGATAATTGCGTTTTTGTTATTACACAAGGAGTAGCGATTGCTCCAACGCTCCGGATTGTTAAGAGAATTCTCGATAACGAGGAGGATTTTAGCAGAGTTATACAGCTCGCGTGCTACAGAGACTTGAAACATTCTTATTTCCGTGATAAATTAAAAGAATTTAACAAATATTGGAATTATTCAAGTAGAATATATCTCGCACATCAGCGGTGTTCAAAGGAAATGTGCGAGGATTCTAAATGCACAGGTAAATGTGATTGGTTTCAAAGCAAATTGTGGTATAAAGAATTAGTGTATTCGCAACGTTTAAACCTAACAGAATTAGAAAATATTTGTAATGTTATTAAAAAAGATACAAAATTAGAATTTGTTATTGGGGGAAGCAGAAAGTTTCAAGAAGCTGTTAATGAAATGATACACAAATCCACTATAGAAGTACTAGATGAAAATATTGTTATGTTATAAAGCGAAAAGGAATGTGATTCGACACATCGCTCATTTAGTAAAAGACTGTTACAACTCACGAAATGAAAGATTTGGTGTGGGTAATACATGCTAAAATCCTGTGTGGTACCGGGGTGAAGCGATTTTGCATCTGAAAGCCGTTTTAGATTGTGAGTCTTTTACTAAATAAGCAATAGGTACATATTTCTTTTAGACAAAAATGTTATACAAAAATGAGGTTCTATATGTATTTGTATCATCTGCGATCATCTCCAAATAAAAAAAAAATCATGTTTTTTAAAAGACGCAGCATTAATTTTAAAAGTTGTGTATAATTAAAATAGTTTAAGGGTTTCCGAATTGAACAAAAACTAAAAAAAGTATATCAATATTAATCTTAAAATTTAATTCAGATGATTAAGCTGTCGTCAACTCTTACATCGGTTCTCTACTTTGTTAAAGATTTATTGATTCCCTGTTACAACTGCGCGGAAATTAGAAAAGTTGTGAGAAACTCAAATTATCTTGTCATGAGAGACAGTGATTAAGCAAGCAACAGTTTTTAAATATTAAAAACAAAAAAAAACAACGATATTTATGTACGTGCATATACCTATATTTGCGTGCATTATGTACATACATTCAAGAGGTCCAGCTTAATCTCACACCAGGCATTTAAAGAACTGATTGACGCTTGTATGGTGAAAACCAGAAAGTAACAACTGGCTGGTACAGTGCTACCTAAAGGTCTCCACGTGGGAGTTCTGTGGCAATTTGCCCAACATTTCGTTTACATGTTTGTCTAATCAGTTCCTTTATATGACTAATGAAGCCGAAATTTTCATAACGTTGCAAGGATTTGAACCTGACATCCAGGCATACACGGCTAGTGGTCTATCTACTGAATTAGCCATTTCGGCCCATTTGGATATTTTTTCTCCTATGGAATGGTGGTATGCAAAAATCGTAAAAACCTTTGGAGGTACTTCGATGGGATCCTTGCTCCACCAAATCATAATCATCAGAAATTGCTCTTTCCGACTAAAAGTTTTTCAACTCTTTCGTTCCTTAGTTCTGCCAGATATCAAAGCGATTTGCTCTTTGTTGTACCACTAAGTTTAGTCAGTTTCAATTTTGCAATCAACCTCAGCTAACAATATCGCCCGTTCCTTTCTACATTGTATATTCTTTGCCTTAACATGTATATATGTGCATACTGGCGTTCCGATTTGTAAGTTCTATAAAATGACAATTTAAAAAAATTTCTAAAATCAAATTTACTCAAACATTTATTATTTTAAAAATTAATCGAAGGTGGAGAACAATAGAGGAACCATTTTCCTCTTTTATTTATCACGAAGTGGTTTATAATGTGTCACCTGTTGATGGCAGAGCATCTTCATTCATAGGATTAATATCATCACCGGGCGAATAAAGTGCTGAATGCTCTGGCTGACCAGGGATGGCTCTATCATTTGTGTCATCATCGTCGTCATGTGTATCAGAATCATCGCTATCATCGTTGGCTGTAAACACAAATGATAACAAAGGGATAAACTTGTATTTGAACCTTTAAATCTACAAACTAAATATGAATACACCTCTAAAGTGTACGTACCATCTTCGTCATCAGTTTCTGGTCCTGGTTTTGTAAGTACTTTACCCAATGGTGGAATATCACTTGCAGCATTTTTAATAGATTCTTTCCAGCTATCATGTTCTCGCTCATAGCGCAAAACATCATCTTCACTGGGTGGTGTATTAATTTCGAACCAAATTCGATTGGCGATTTGTGGCCGTAATGATGGAAAGAATGGAATCATTGACATGACTTCTATTTGGTTTATATTGATGGTATCCGAATGTTGCTGAGATATTAGCTGAAATAAATAAAAATGTAAATCAAGTCCGATTTTAATATAATTACATGTATTTACAATGGATTAAATACATACGATTTGTACGACACAATCCAGCCGTTTTCATTTGTAAACAAAAATCTAACTTCTGATCTAACTAGGGATTAAACGATACGAGTAAAAACAAGTACATACTCGATACTTTTCGTTCGATACGAAGTAGGTGTCGAAAAAAATACTCGTATCGAAATCCGAATTCAAGCAGAATTTCTTTTCGCAAGAGACCAACCAGCGACCTTCGAATATTGATAATATCAATTTTTTTTCCGGAAACCAGTATGCAATAAACTTTTTTAACAGATATTTTTGCTGGTTTTACATCAGGGTATCCATTTCCATGGTCGCAAAAACCATAAGATCTATTTAAAATATTTTTTTAAGTTCATTGAACGCTGTTTTAAGTCAAGAATTTAACAATCCGAATATTTTTTTAGAAGGTCGGTCCTTAGGTCAATGTAATTTTTCATTCAATCAGACCTTTAAAAAGGCTTTCAAAAGTGAAAGTTTTGATTTTTTTCTTTTTTTACCTAAAACCAGTTTGTAATAAACATTGTAAAAACAATTGTAACTGAAATGCCTTTTCGATTTATGCGACAAAGGAAATGGATTCCTTCATGTATAAAAAACAAAAATATGGGGTTAAAACCTTTTAGAAATTCCATGGCATACTGGTTCAGGCAAAAAAAAAATAAAAAATTTAAACCATCTAGTTTTGAAAGTAATTTTAAAGATCTATTTAATTATTCTACCAAACGAGACTATTTTTCCTGAATTCCCTATCTCACCGCTACATTTATTTTGCTATCTCTNGGTCAATTTAATTATTCTACCAAACGAGACTATTTTTCCTGAATTCCCTATCTCACCGCTACATTTATTTTGCTATCTCTTCTCCTTTGATTTTGAACCTTTTTTTTCAAAAATAGAACACTGTGCGGTGCATACACCACCCCATGATAAAAATATAGTAAGGTAGAACCGCTGAGAGTCACTTTTAAAATTCTTGACGTTTCCAAACAATTTAATTTTTAAATTTACTCACAAACTCACACACACATTTTCATTTTCAATCTCAAGCAACAACAATTTCGAACAATTTCATTTTTTTATTTTCACTTTTATATGATTTTAAAATGTTGGCAAACTTCAAAAAAAAATCATGGCCGACAAATTGAGAGAACGGTTATACCTTGCTATGTTTTTATCATGCACCACCCAACATGCAGAGAATATTATAGATGGTGGAGACTAGCTCTGTTATTGAAAAAAAAGAAAGGAGAAAATAGTAGGGAGCAAAGCGTGGGTGACAAAAAAAGTTATCCTAAAAAAAAACTAAAATATTCGACATAGCCTTGCCCAGGAATTTAAGCTTTCTAAGAACTCACCACATAAAATCCGTTATTTTTTTACTACATATAAGAAATATACACCTGGTATTTTGCCACCTTATAAATCAAAGTACAATATATNCTAAAATATTCGACATAGCCTTGCCCAGAAATTTAAGCTTTCTAAGAACTCGCCACATAAAATCCGTTATTTTTTTACTATAAGAAATATACACCTGGTATTTTGCCACCTTATAAATCAAAGTACAATATATCTGCCTACGATACAAAAATCAAATAGGACTTCTCAAACCACCGAAATTCAAAATAAAAATTTTTACATTTTTAAATCAATATGGGCACTGAGCGGCCAACTCACCTTCTAAGGTTAAACGAGATTATCTTCTTGTAAATTTTTCAAGGTATTACCTCTTTTAAATACCATTAATCATTAAGTATTATGTTATGTTGTTCTATTTAATTTCCAGTTCCTACATCATTAACTTTTATTATTCGGAATTTAGGATTCGCCGATGATGATTAAATTATTACTAGGTTAACATAAGTGGATTATCCCAATTTTCGAGCTTAACTCCCTAATCTGTAATTAGCCATACAAAATTCGGTCTTCGTTAATCTGTAATTATAAAGTAATCTCAGATTAAGCCGATAACTTTTCGGTTTCCATCCTAGTTTTATCGAT